AGGCTTCCTTTCTAAATAATGTTCCCTTCCCTGGATTTTCTTTCCCTTTTCCATTTCTGTATCTCTGGTTGTTCAAACATATACAGGAATATGGATTTTACTAAGTCCTTTAATTATAAAAACATTGTAAAATTAAAACATTATAATTATACAGCAACATTATTAATATGAAAAGATATGGCTTTAATTAAGAAATTATTTTTGTCAAAGAAGTTTGTTTTTCCATGAGGCAAAATTTAATACCTAGTATGATTTAATCAACTGGCAATTCCTTTTGCAAAATATCCTTTTAATGAGTAATTTCTTAGATCTATTTGAAAGCATCTTCACACCAGATCAGAGGTAATATAATAAAAGCTATTCACATTCTCATTGGAATGTTACTTTTTAATATAGTAACTATGGGATCTCAGAAGATGTACAGCAGAGCCTCCATATGGCACAGAAAAAAGACAAGAAACTAACTAGTTGGCACTCGCCTAGTTATGGACTGAATGTTGGTGCCCCCACCATTAATATGCAGAAACGTCATCCTCATTGTGATGATATTTGGAGGTGGGGTCATTGGGAGAGAATTAGGTCATGAAGGTAGAGTCCTACCCTCATGATAGGATTTGTGTCCTTATAAGCAGAGACATGAGAGAGATGATTTCTCTCTCCCCCATTTGAGGGTAGGGCAAGAAGGCAGTCAGCTGCAAATAAGGAAGGGAGTTCTCATCAAGAACTGGACCATGCTGGCACCCAGATATCAAATTTCCAGCCACCAGAACTGGGAGACAGAAATACAGTGTTGTTTAAGTCACCAGTTTATGGGATTTTTGTATAGCAGTCCAAATGAAGACCTGTCTTTCGATACTTTAAAAACAACAACGTCTTCTTGGACATCGGTATGCTAAATCTCTAAGAGCCACTAAATCGTGTTTTCATCAGTTGTCCCCGAGAAAGTGTATTCTGGCCTTATGAAGAATCAAAAGACTGGAAAAGAAAACAAATTTCTTAAAGGAGCAGAAAAGCTCTTTGCATCTTAGTTGTCTTCCCACTAACTAACAAGCCAAATTCTTTTAAGAACAAAGAGTTGAAGGTTTACCTTTCTTTCTTAATCATTGCCAAATGCATGACATTTCTCAAGCATTTTCTTCACAGAAGATATTCTCTTGCCAGATAATTCTGCAAGACATGCCAGAAGAGAAACATCTGCTTTCCACATTTAGGACCTCTTCAGCTGGTTTTGCAACAGAAACCTCAATCTAAGGTCAAATCATTGTAATAACACAGTCTCCAGCACAGTTGATGTGGTTGCAATGTGAAATGAATTGGGAGAAAACAGAAGTGAACCAGTGTGGCCTCAAATAAAATGTCAAATTTCCACAAGCAAAATCCTACTAAAAAAAAAAACTAGGAACAATTTGAGTAGCTGAAAATAATCTGCAAACATTCTGCTTTGCTCTTCTACAACTGACAAGGTCTATGGAAAGCATGATTTCTGCCCGGCATGACAACAAAGAAAGCCATTTCCAATTCAGTCTGTAAGGAAAAAGGAAATAAACAACTTCAGCAAATATTTATCGGGTACCACATTAGTATGTGAGGGCTGCCAAACAGAATACCACAGACCGGATGGCTTAAACAACAGAAATTTATTTTCTCACAGTTCCGGAGGCTGGAAGTCTGAGATCTAGGTTTTGGCAGGGTTGGTTTCTGAGATCTCTCTCTTTGGCTTGTAGATGGCAGTCTTCTTTCTATGTTTTCCCATGGTCTTCCTTCTGTGTATGTCTGTCCTAATCTCTGATTATAAGGACACAACTCATACTGGATTAGTGCCCACTCTACTAGCCTCATTTTAACTTAATTATTTATGTAAAAACCCTATCTCCAAACTTGGTCATATTCTGAGGTACTGGGGGGTTAAGGATCTCAACACATGAATTTGGGGGACACAAGTCAGCCTATAACAAATACATATATGATGTCAGGCACTGTATGCAAACCAATTAGCATTGAAAAATCAAAGGAAGTTCTTAACTGTTTCATTTTTTTCTACAGAAACACAAATCTGAAAAGAAATGAAGAACCATCTTTGCCTCAGGATGTGGCAAATGGAGCTTTGGAACTGATGCATATTCAAAAGAAGGATCTCCTGCCCTAGCAACACAGCAAGACCCCATTTCTACAAAATAGAAAAAAAAGAGTCAGGTGTGGTGGTGAGTGCCTATAGTCCCAGCTACTCGGGAGGCTGAGATGGGAGGACAGCTTGAGCCTAGGAGATCAAGGCTGCGGTGATCCATGATTGTGCCACTACACCCCAGCCTGACAGTGTGAGACCTTGTCTCAAAAAAAGAGAAGGTGCTCTTTGTCTGTTGGGAAAGAGACCTTCCATAGATAGCTTATCCAATGAACACTGGTGCTCATGCACATGTGTGTGTACTGGCATCTCCAGGTTGGTTAACATGGTATCTGCCTCGTGACCAGTTCGTTACTTAGTGATGTGGTCACATTTCTGTTGGTTCTTCTTTCAGACACAGCCCCAGGGCCTCATTCTGGCCGCCAAAGTCAGGTCCCTGGTTTGCCGCCTCCAACAGTCCCACTCTGTGAGATCCTGGTTAATTTGGTTTGTACTTGGCAAAAAATAAAAAATAAAAAAAACTACAAAAAAACTACAAAAAAAGTGCCAAGAATGTCTCCCTTATTTATGAAATGCAATATACTTTCTTAGTGAAAAATGGGTTCTTTTCTAACTTGCTATTCAGTAGGGACATAATGGTTTTGCATACTCATAGCTTCTCTTTCTAATCTTTCTGGAAATCTAAGATGCCAAATGTTCTTGGCTCTCAACTGAGTCCTTTCTATCTTTAGGCACCATTCAATGTCCATAGCTTTTTCATCGGACAGCTCTCATTTTACATCCTCTATAATTTTTAATTCTATACAGAGGATCTCACTCATTTCTCAACTATCCATTGTCCCAACAATTATTTTTACTTGAATAAAGTATATAATATTTTCCTTTGATCAAGTATATCAGAATATCATAGTGTGTTTAAGTGTTAAGACACTGAGGACAGCACCACTCAGGAAAAAGTGAGGTGTCTATGGAGCTAGCCTTGCAGAGTTAATCTGCTCTTAACTAGTGGTGGCCATAGACTAAAGTGTCCATGCACAAGGCAAACCAAGTTCTACTTCTGAAGTCTGAGACCTAAGCTCTCCATAGCTAGAAGATGCCATGAAACAGAAACAAGCCACTAACCTGCCCATAGTAGGTGATTCTGTATAAATGAGAACATGAACAGAATTCAGGTGACATGGTACCAGAATTGAGGACTAGACAAGCAGGGAGGGATGTTGTATTAGTCCATTCTCATGCTACTATAAAGAACTGACCAAGGCTGAGTAATTTCTAAAGGAAAGAGGTTTAATTGACTCACAGTTCTGCATTGCTGAGGAGGCCTCAAGAAACGTGCCATCATTGCAGAAAGGGAAGCAAAACACGTCCTTCTTCACATAATGGCAGGAAGAAGTGCTGAGCAAAAGGGAAAAAGCCCCTTATGAAACCATCAGATATCCTGAGAACTCTCTCACTATCATGAGAACACCATGGAAGTAACCACCCCAATGATTCAATTACCTCCCACCAGGTCCCTCCTACTATGATTTAAGATGAGATTTGGGTTGGGACACAGTCAAACCATATTAGATATTAACACATCCAAGCACAGCGTACAGGAAATACCACTCTTTGGAATGTGGAAATCATTGAACTAAGCAGTGGAAGCTAGTACATGGAAACATGAGTTGTTTAGGCAACTCAGATACAACGTCATGAGGAAAGCAAAGGAAGGGATAGCTGAGGCTGGCACAGAAGACAGTGGGAAGACAGAAGGTTACATAGGATTAGTTTGGCCCTGTTGAAAAGTCATGGAGATCCAGGAAGAGGTGGCTGGAGAAGGAAACTTAAGCGCTGAAAAGAAAAAAGAAGAAAGCTGGACTAGAGTAAGGTAAGGCCCTAAAGGATGAGAAGGGAGATTAAGAAGTGATCACAAGTTTCTTGATCAAGGAAAGGGTTGTCAGCCCAGGATTTCCCAACGTGCCTGGGAGCAATGTCTTCCAAGATAAAGATGCCACCTGCAAAACTAGTCTTCAGTGTCCTGAAGGACCTATTCTCAAAGAACTCAACAATATCACTTCCATTCTGCCCTCTGTGTATCTGCAGCTAAAATTTCTCCACATTGTTTCCATCCTCAGGTTTTTCCCACCAATTCAGCTTGCTAACAGAGTACCCAAGTTTCTCATTCCTTCTATTTAATCTGTCTCTTTTTATCCAGGTAAATGCTTGTACTATCTAGGTAATAGCCACAAATGCCATTTCACACCTTACTAAAACATTACATTTATGTCACCCTATTCAGTTTCAAACTTATTTGATTCTCTTTCTCTGGGGACTAATTTATATAGAGATACCTTTAATGACAAAACTTTCCAAACTATTTTCTGATTCAATCTTTTCGACTAAGAATTACCAGTTATTTCTTATGTCTCATTTCTTCTTCCTATCACCTCTGTCCATGTTCACAGTAACAGGCTTTGTACTTTTATCTGAGCCCTTTTTAAAAAATTCCTCTCTCAAGTTTCTCTACTTTTAGTCTTCTAAATCAAGTTAATGAATTGTCTGCTATCTCAGGCCCTCTGACACCTGATCCCCTGAGTAGAAGCCTGTTGTTCTTGTATCTTACACAATGATTCACTGCAGAGATATCTCTCTGAGCCTGGGATTTCATGACACTGAAAACATAGAACAAGCTTTATAAATGGCAGCCATATTTCATCTACACACAGAAGCTGCTCACCTACCTCAGGGGAAGGTTTCAGAAACAGATGGTCTGCTTTGGGGACTACATACACTCAGAATTTCTTATTTGGAATTACACTTTACATGAATAAAAAATACAGCAAATCATCTAAAGCTCTAAAAATGTATGCAGAGACCTCTACAAATACCAGACATGTTGTTTGCAGCACAATTTATTATCTGGTCATAGTATTTGGTCACATTATTAGGTACCGATTTAACACCATGTAACCTCTCTTGACACAGAGCAACCCAAAAAGAAAACTTCAAAATGTGCAACAGCAATAAATATCAAGCTTTCTGATCTAAAATGTATAAATATAAAATATCAGTCATTTCTGGAAACATCTTAAGAAAATCCGGCAACCACATGTCCGTGAGTAGGTGTCTGATGTTGACGGTGCTTACATTCAGAACATATCACCTCAGATCCAACACAATTATTTTTATGTCTTTTACCAACACATGTTTGCATATCTAGGAAAGAAAAAATTGGTTTTACTATATGTTTGATTTTAGCATAATGTTTACCATATGATTTTCTTTAGGGAGGGAGTATAGATTTCCTAATTTTAAATTGTTCCTGATTTTTAAAATATTTCCAATCAGAAGCTATACAATCACATTTATTAATTTCAACAAAAACAAAAATATTTACAGGGGTTGCCAAATAATTTTCATTTTAAGTAAATGCTAATTTCAATATAATGTTCTCTGATGTTACAGCCACAGAACTGCCAAAAAATTAGGGAAAAAAAAAGGCGTAGTCAAATGTTTCTTTTGGACTATGCAAAAGTAATCAAGAAGTATGATCGTAGTTTTCATACAATTGCTATGAAAAAACTAATTTGGCCATATCAAGCAGAAAGAATTCATGCAACATTTTAAATGCCATTTTCTATGATAATTGTTTACTTATTTGGACTCTGAAGAAAACTTTTAAATATCACACATATATATAAGTGGAAAGGTAACTTTGTGCACCATTAATTCTGCTATAGAAATATTGATGTTTCCTTGTAAATACAATTATTTTGAGAATAAATCAGAAATTAAGTATGCCGATAGATTAATTTTCTGAGATAAAACTCCAAACTAAGCAGTACAGTATTTTATCTTATATTAGACTGCTACTATTTATTTAAAAACAGGTTGGGGGGGCAGTGAATAAGAAATACCTGGAAAAATAACTAATATGATGTACTCACACTGAACAGCCTGGGCTCCTTGGTGTGTGGATGAAAGCCCTTTTTTTTACAAGCAGAAACCTCAAGCATGCCAGCATTGGTGAGCCTGAAGATGCCAGTGCTAAATTTCAGAGTGAAAACGGGTAGAAAAATTAAGGATCATTTGGGCATTCCAGATGCTTTATTTGAACAGCACACACATACATATTCCTCAAATGGGACTGAGAACTCACAAACTAGGAATTCTATAGTGATTTTTTTTTTTTAACCAGTGACTGGCCCAGAGGAGAGAAACCCAGGAGGAGGCAATGCTGCTGCTAGGAGCCTGCAGGATCGTTAAGCGGACAAGGCAAATAAGCTACTGTGTGTGACCCCACAGGAAAGGCCAAGGCCCCACCAGAGAGTCCCATGAGAGGAAATTACAAGTGGCAGATATTTCGAATTCTTCTAATAATGTTAATACAGATTATAGCAATAGCAAATAGGTATTGAGTGCCTGCTGCGGTACCAGGCACTATGCTAAGCACTGTACATAGGCTATTATCTAATTTCATCTTTACATCCATCCCTGATGGGCAGGTATCAGGGATGAAGAGGCAGAGGCCTACAGTGGTCAAGTATCCTGCCTAACACAACACTTGAGGGGTGGAGCCATGATTTCCATATGTATGTTTGATTCCCATGCTCATAACTACTCTACAATAATCAGTGTCTCCAAAGCTAGAAAGGTTTTTTCTCAGCTAAGGCTAGAACATTTCTTATGGTAGAACATAATACAGTAGAAATGAGTCCTAAAAAGGCTAACTGGGATAGCATCCTTCTTAAATGTTATTCACTTCAAGGTCACGCTAACTGAAGAAAGAAAATCAGTAATTCTGCCACAGAATGGACCTTAAACTGCAGAGCTACAGGTCGATGGCAGCTGACTGCCACCCATCTCTTTTTCCCGAGGGTGTTGTGTGCTTGCCAATCCAAGTACCACAACCTGGTGTCTAGACACACAGGAACCCAGCAGCCCTAGACAAAGCCTTCTTTGGGCTCCCCTGAAGAGTCACACTTACTCTTTATGCTTTGGTGAGCAAACAATGGCAATGGCCTCTGGCAACATGAGTTGATAGGAACAGTGAGTGTGAAGATCAACGCTGGATAAGAATGCAGTTTGAGTGGGATGCGTCTATAAATAGAAAAGAAGACAATTTTACTAGGATAGCTGTCTTAGGCAAGGCCACAGCTTATTTTAATAGAAAATTCTGTTTTTTAAAAAATTATTTTTAACCATTAATCAAATAAGGGATTTTTAAAAAGGTTTTGCTGACATGATCCTTCCCTTTATGCATTCCTATTATTTGCTATTTTGGAATAACTATGACTTTGAGAAGAGGCTCCTAGAAGTGTTGGTGTACTTTCTTCTTTTGGGGATAGAAAGAGCTGGAAATTAATTTGCTAGGGGCTTTAAATAGATTCTTATAGCATTATCACAACTCATTTATGAGATACTTATTTTATTATCTGAATTTTACATACAAGGATCCCAAAACTAAGGGAGGTTACATAATGCGCCTGTGGTCACACAGCTGGTAAGGAGCAGAGCTGTGACTGGAAACCCTGGACACAAGATATGTATATACAACATTAGGAACATTAAAAGGAAGTTTTCACTAAATAGACCACATGTTGCTGTGTATCGTTTTGTGGATTGCCATTTCCTATAAATGGCAGAATGGGAGACTCCAAGTTGTTAAAGGTATTTGGGACTAATCTTGCATAGCAACTAAATATATGGGGAGGAAAAAAGAGGGATTATAAATTAAAAGAAATCTGCCAAGTCTCTGGCTACATACAAATGTGTTTATGCATGGTCAATCAGAGGTTCATATTTGAATATAAAAAATAAATGCACATCTAGTTATTTTAAAAATTCATATTAAACCCTAATTACTCTTGAAAGAAAGAATGTGACTATTTTAATCATGAAACAAAGATTCATGGCACCACTGTCTAGGTCCTGACACCATTACGCACTAGCTATATGACACTGTGAAGATTACTTAGCCTTCTCTTGCCCATTTCATCATCTGTAAAATTGGGATAATATTTTCTGCATGGGATTGTTATGAAGATGAAATATGACAGTCCATTAAAATTCTTGGAACAGTGCTTAGCACATAGAAATAAAAGGCATTAGCGGTTGTTATTGCTGTTGTTATTTTAATGTCTTTATTAACTAAAAGGCACAGATCCATAGTAGTAGCTAAATGTCTTTACACACAACTATATTCTATTAAAGAAATGTAAGATTTTAAAACAATTTTTAGGCCAGGCATAGTGGCTCATGCCTGTAATCCCCACTTTGAGTGGCCAAGGTGAGAGGATCAGTTGAGCCCAAGGGTTCAAGACCAGCCTGGACAATATAGGTAGACTCCATCTCTACCAAAAAAAAAAAAAAGTTGTTTTAATTAGCTAGACATGGTGGCATGTGCCTGTAGTCTCAACTACTTGAGGGGGCTGAGGTGAGAGGAGCACTTGAGTCAGGGAGGCTGAGGCTACAGTGAGCTGTGATCACTCTACTGCACTCCAGCCCGGACAACAGAGCAAGACTCTGTCTTGGGAAAAAAAAAGCAAGAAAAAGTTTTTTTCTGCTTTAATAGAATGAAGGCAAAATCAGATGATTATTTACAGAAAGCTACATGTTCTGCAAGGAAAAAATAACACTTGGCCTATAAAAACTTAGATCGACAAAGGAATGGAAATTATCCTAACTTTTAAAATGCAAATCTTCAGTAGGGGGTACGAGTGGGAGTATCTGACAGCCTGTTATCTTACAAGGAACACCTTCTCTTTGTAAAATAGAGGCTTCTATGTCTTTGTGAGAAATTAAAAATTGTTCAAAGAAACTATAGTGCTGTGGAGGCGGCAAGCAGGTTATCATACAGACAAATCACTTTGCTTGTCAATTTATTTCCACACGGAATGCACACCACATGACCTGAGTCCTTCATTTCTGCCAAAAGGAATTATGTCTATTCCAATGAGAACAGTTTTCCCATGGGAGAATGAGGCTCCCATTCCCTCACTCTACGGAAATGAAAATGATGATGACAATGATAACAATGGCAGCAGATGCCATTTATTGCAACTGTATAATGTGAACTAATCACTTTCCATGAGTCATATCATTGAATTCTCACAGCAACAAGTGCTATTATTATCTCCATTTTGCAGGTGAGGAAACTGAGGTAAGCAAGAAAGTGAGTAACTTGTGGATGCTCATAAAGCTAGTTAAACCAAAAAGTCCAAATTCAAATACATGTCTGTCTGATTATATTTCAGACCTTTTTTCCCGATGACTAATTTGTATTTGAAAAAAGCCAGCTCTGGAATTTGTTGCTATTATTACACTTGATAAAAAACATCATAAAAAGTCATTACAATCACTGAGGTTTAGAAATGTAACATTTTTGTATTTTCATTCAACCACAATAATTTGATATGGTGAAATGAGTTTAACAAAAAGTCCTAGAATTCAATAATTATGCTAAACTTATTAAACAACTTACCTTCATAATTGCATGCATTATGTTCACAGAAGCTCATAAGGGGAAAATTTTTGTTTCTAATTTGGAAAATGTTTTGTTAGATAAACTAACATTGACTTGTCAGTGTAAATGCATAATTTAATAGACTGTCATTCTTGCTAGAATTTGTTTTGCTTTAAAATGCATTCTTGTTACAGAAATCATGTCAAGCTAAATAAGGCATTCTTTTTACAGAAATCATGTTAAGCTAAATAATATAGCAATTTCCAGGCAAACTGTAATGCATATTACTTACTGTTAAGTAAAGCAAATACACATATGTAGAGTTTTACAAACTCTTCATTATAAATAATTTCTTGCATTTGAGAGGCAGTTTATACTTTTCAAAGAGTTTTCACACCTGGTATCTTGTTTCCTGTTCACAGAAATCCAGTGAGGAGAGAAGGCATTCATGAACCTCACTCAGCCAATGAGGGAATCTGGAAACTAGGCTAGAAGTCCTGACTGATAGAACATAATCATTTACAGGTGGAGTTGGGACTAAAGTCTCCTGTACCCTCCAGAACTGCATAATACCAAATGCTTAGGAAGTGTGTGTGTGTGTGTGTGTGTGTGTGTGTGGATGCTGCCCCTCCCCAGTGCTTCTCTATAAAGCAAGTAAAAATGATCATGTATCATTCCTCAAGGGCACTTGGAGGTCCCCAGAATGCGTCCTGGAAATTTTCTTGGCCAGTATCCCATCTTAGAGGGATGGCTTATCCCAGTCTGCTATGGTTTGAATGGTGGGGTCTCCACCACTATTCATGATGAAACTTAATCCTCAATGCAACAGTATTAAGCAGTGTGGTCTTTGGGAGGTGAGTAATCACAAAGGCTCCACTCTAATGAATGGTATTAAGACGCTTGTGAAAGGGCTTAAGGTTGAAGGGAGTGCTCTCTTGCCCTTCTGCCTTCCATCCTGTGAGGACACAGCAACAAGGTGCCATTGGTGTTTAGTGAAGGCTGCTTGTGGAAGCTGAGAGCAGCCCTCACTAGACACCAATGCTGGTGCCTTGATCTTGGACTTCCCAGCCTCTAGGACCAGACAAAACAAATTTCTGTTCTTTTTAAATTACCCTATATCAGGCATTTTGTTATAGCAGCAAAAACACACCAAGACGTTATCCTAGATCCAGCTTATGTGAGACTGAATGGAAAAAATTTCCCTCAGCTGGATTGCACTATGGCTAGAAAGGATAGATTATTATCACCAATTATAATAGGTACAATTTTCTGAGTCTCTCAAAAAATGTGCTGTGAAATTCACCAATAGTATCTCATTTAATATGAAATATCCTGTGAAGTCAAGTATTATGATCTCCATATTATGGATGATAAAACTGATGCTCAGATTGCTTAATAACTTGCCAATGCCCCTACAGTAAATTCTTAGCACAGCCAAGATTTAACCTCATGTCTATTTGACTTGCTCCTATGATGGCCTGGTGGATGTTGGAATTCAATGTTTTGGGCCCTATCCTCTTGCCTTACTCTGTGGCTGTTTATATAGTGATGCATACATCGTTTGCCTATCTGAGGGGTGTCAGGAAGTGTAGCTGATATATACAAACACGTTTAAAAGAAACATTTTCAGATATTTTCTTAAAATAATCTAATTTAGACCCACATTAATAGTTGTGTAGCCAAATCAGTTAACAATTTGGCTAAGCCTTCACTAGGCTATGTAAAATCATCTAAAACAAATCACCTGATTTCCAAGTGTTACTCTCTTTCTTCCTACCTCTTTTAACTTTAGATGATACGAAAAAGCAAAAGATACACGTTCTCCAAATCCAGATTTGACAGATTTAGACACAGTCTAACACTGAAAAACATGCCATAATATGATGAAATTTATTTTTTTTAATATCTGTTATTCTTTTCTCTCCGCTTGAGAACCACTACTTAAATGATGACCTTTATTACATTTGAAAAATTTAAAAAGAAGAAGCTATTTAAAAGAGGCTAAACTTTTTCAAGGAGGAAAATAGCATGCCACACAAAAATAAACTGAAACCCAAAAGGTCAAACGTACATGAATCCATCCTAGAGTGAGGAGATCATGTTGATCCTGCACATTGAATAATTCCTCTACATTCTCCACGTCACAATAGTCTGGTCCCGCAGACTGCTTTGGCACAATTACATGAGTAATAGTAAATTCATTATGTGTCTAAAAAACAAGTAGCAGAAAGAATGACATGCATCTGACACACACACACACACACACACAAACAAAAAAAAAAAACAACGGAACAGGAAGTGCAATGTTTAAGACTAAAGAGTCCGCCAATAGGGGTGTGTGTCTAGGTACAGGGACCACTTACATTATCCCTCCCTGTACCGGGACACACAACCATTCCCAATTCAAAAACAAGTCCCAACAGTAAAAATGGATTCTTTGCCAAAAGTTTGAGACTCAGTTGTTTGTAGCTTGAAACCCACTTTCACAATAGAAAACATAACATAAATAGGAATTTGCATGCCAGGCTTCTGTGGAAGTTTAGTTAATAAATGATGTCTTGATATAGCTGTAATGGAAAAACTGAACAAAACAAGGACAGATTTGTTTGGAGGGGGAGATACTAGTTAAATAATTTTGTGGTGTTACCAAAAGGCATTTCTTAGGGTTGTGAAGGTTGATGGTTTTGTTTTTATATTACTAATTATATTTAATGTCACCTCAAGATTTAAGACATTCTTCGAATGTTGCGAGGACTCACTAGGATCTTCTGTAATTAAGATAATGTTTTGGATTTGCAATCAGATAAAGAGAAAGGAAAAAACAAATTATTCCCCTTAGGCAAAAGGTAAGAGTTGAGAGGAAGAGGGTTGTGAAGTGCCATGGGATCCTGAAAGAAGAGATGTTTGTGCAGTGAGAGGCTGTCTTCCCCCAGGCAGGCTGGCCTTTCTCTGTCCAGAGGACCATCCTCTCTCTAGCCTTAGGGCTTTCCTGCACACTATGCACTGCTCCTTTGCCCTGATTTCAACTCTTCCCTCCATCCAACCTCTTCCTTTATGTATTCTTCAGGCCTAGCTCAAACATCACTTCTCAGGGAAACCCTTCTCCACCCTTCAGACAAGGTTAGATTTACCAGTTACACACTCCCATGATTCCCTGCACTTGCACAGACAGCACTCAGCCCCACTTATCATTAGTCATCTGTCTGGGTCTTCACAGCATCATAAGTATCGTGAGGCAGGCTGTTGCTGGACACCCACTGCTAATACCCAGCACGCTGCCTGGCACATTTAGATATTCGGTAAATGTTTGTCTGACAACGGAGTGAACGAATCACAAATGAATCAATAAATCAATCTGAATACAACACAGGATGTGGGGGTGGATGTTTCAATAGCACACTGTCTCCTTAAGTGCAACAGAGGTGACTGTAGATGCCCATTCTCCTGTGCTTGCCACCAATGGCTTCCTCTATCTTGGAGGGAAAGAGATGACAGAATACTGGAATGCAGGAGGAGATTGTGTATTGAATACAATGTAGTATTATTCAATAAAGCAGAGGTTCCTAAGCTAAATTTTGAGGACTGAAAATATGCCTGGACCCAGATATATAAACTAGCACTCAAAACAGACTATGAAAGGACACGCCCAAAGAAACATTATTTATCTTTGTTGTAGATAGGAAATTGAATGCATCTCCTTTCTTTCATCTCCTTCTATTATGACATTGTCTTTCATCACATACTTATGATATCTTCCATAATTAAATATGTCCTGTGCCTATAGGCTTTTGTTGAAACTACTGCCTTAAACTAAAGGAAACAACAAAATCCTAGTTTTATTCCATGTGTTTCTCAAAAAGGACAGCAAGATAATACATGCCACAGATTAAGTTAATTATACGAATGTATGTGAAGCTAACAATTGCAATGAAAATTTGATTTGGCAACCAGATAGATTTGGAAATCTGAAGACCTATATTTCATACCATTTTTCTAATCAAAGATTTGATTTATAGGTTGATCTTTAGGACAAGTTTTTATAGAGTCTCTGAAATTTTACAATCTATTTTCTAGAAGGATCATTCCATTAATAATGACAGTAGTTTTATAAAGTTAATTTGTGTAATGTTAATTACATAATACTTATAACTCTTAGCATGCTTTTATTCTGTTCCACTTATCAGAAGAAATCTAGTACTATTAAAAGTATCCTATGCAGATACATATATCTAAATATAAAGATCATACCAGTTTTCCACAGAGTATTCCACAGGTTTCTATTCCTCTCACTGTATTAGATTCTGCCAGCTGCAGAAATTTGTGGCAAAGATCTTTTGGCAAAACTGCACATCGCAGTCCTTCAACCACTAAATCTAAGAAACAAAAAAGGGAAAAAAGGCTAAAAAACAAACTGTATGTCCCATCTTTCAAAATTGCTTTTGGCAAGCAGTCGCAGTTGGACATAAATTTCAAAAATAAAAGTATCAGGTGTTCCACTTTGCATATTTTATTTTAAAACTCTTAGAAGTAAACATTAACCAGAAGTAAAATTAAATTATGTATATAAATTATTTTATAAGCAAAGTGAGGAGGTACCAGCACTTTTACATGTTTGTACCTTGGGTCAACTACTTACATGTTATTTTATCTTTTGGCAGGAAGTAAATATACGGTTAAATGCATAGGCTGTGTAGAATGCATCTCATACCCCATAAGACATATGATAAATATTGTGTTTACCACGTTACTTATATCTTTATGAAAGTTGGTGATCAGCAAGTCAAAGCACAATGTTTTGGTAAACAATTAGCAGTAAAGTAACTTTAAAAATGGTCGCCTATTATCACTCATTTCAAATAAATGGGAACACAAATTCCATCTGACAGAGTCTGTGAAGAAGAATTCTGTATTTTGGAAACCTGCCAGCACTGATCTGGCAGTACGGAGCAGCACTAATTCTTGCAGAAACACACAGGCCATTTGGAGGTTAATTATCTATGTGTATGAGATTCTCTCAGTCCAAGGATGATGCTAAGCATACCGAGTATAAACATTTATTGCTGAGCAAAGTCCTGGATAAACAATTTTCTCAACACCTTTTCTCTCCAGAAAGATGGATGTATTTAAGATGTATGTATTTCTTAGTTAAAATACATAGAAGACAAAAGGACTTGAAATTCTTCTCATTTAAAATCTCTGTTCAATGATAAAATACTTCCCATTTATGATTGAGTCTCTGCTCTATCGGGGGCATCATATTTCCTGAATTTTAAGGTTATATATAGTAAAAGCCAGAGAGTATTGAAAGGTTAGTTCTGTCATGCATACCATATTATGCAGGGGTCCTACTACAATTAGTAATGAAATGAGGAGGACCCTCCCAGATGCTATAGAAATATGGTTCCATCCGATGAGCCTCAGTGTCTCACGGGGGTGCATTTCATCACTTACTCTGAACAGCACTTAGAGTAGCAGCTGGCGTTAAGGCCCTGTTTACAGGAGGAGAGTGGCTAGCATAATTGGTTGCGTCACTTTTATTAGGTTGATCTGCAAATACATTCAGCAAGGAATTGTTCTGGTGTGTGGAAAAGCAGGACAAAGCACTCCCATCAATCTGCTCCGACAGCCCTGAGGTTTGCTGACTTCGCATCTGACCTCGGGCTAACTCTTGCTTCTTGAGTTGATCTTCGAAAAACAGAAACTGCTCCGATTCTAGCTGCTGCTGGCGCATCTGAGCAATCCGCTTCCTTTCTGCCTCTATCAATCTCTGATGCTCCAGTTTTTTGAGAATTTCAGCTTTATATTTGTTCTAAAAAGTGTGACAGCCAGAAGAGAAGGTTAGTGTCCAAGGAAAAACATTGAACTGGAATTAGACATTTTCAGTCTTCAAGCAGACAGAGAAAAGGCTAGATACTGTGATATACCCACAGGGACACTCAGGGAACAGTGAGAGAAATACATAACATCAGGGCAAAAGCCCCTTGATCTGATTAAGATAGCAGTTCTAAATCCACTGATATTTTACCAGAGACAGGCCATGACAATCAGGATCCCTCCATTCCCTTATGCTTGTAAATACTGGAAAATCAACGTTAAGGTTGTTTGCTCAGTCAGACCGACAAGACCATATGAAACAAAATACCTCACCCCTACTGCACTTTCAATATAGTGACCACTGGCCACGTGTGATTATTTGAACTTGATTAAAATTAAACAAAATTAGAAATTCAGCATCTCAGGCACACTAGTCACATTTAAGTACCCAGTAGCCACATGTGGCTAGTGGGTACCATATTGGAAAGTGTCAAACAGAACATTTCCATCATCACAGGGAGTTCTACTGAACAGTGCTGCCCTAGAACCTTTTGCATTTGACTCTAGAACTCATACTCTGCTGGAAATTTATGGATAAGAAGGAATCACTAAAAAGAATGGTTATTAAGGCCAGGCGTGGTGGCTCACGCTTGTAATCCCAGCACTTTGGAAGGCCGAGGCGGGCGGATCACAAGGTCAGGGGATGGAGACCACGGTGAAACCCCGTCTCTACTAAAAATACAAAAAATTAGCCGGGCGCGGTGGCAGGCACCTGTAGTCCCAGCTACTCAGGAGGCTGAGGCAGGAGAATGGCATGATCCCGGGAGATGGAGCTTGCAGTGAGCCGAGATTGCGCCACTGCACTCCAGCCAGGGGGACAGAGCGAGACTCCATCTCAAAAACAAACAAACAAAAAAAGGTTATTAAAATGTGTTCCAACCTTCTCTGTCACCACTAACGAAGAGTTTTGCTAAAAATGAGGAGTCCCAAGCTCTCCAGTCCTAACAAAATATTCAGGCTTATTAGGTCAGATAATATGAAGTATTAATGAGCCTTTCAAGTGATTTTGATAGAAGCTAGATTTGGGAGCTACCGTAAGATGGCGGCAGCATAGAGGACACAGCTGATAGCTGCACATTCAGGTGCATACAAATCACCCTGGGGCTAATTGCAGTTGCAAATCCTGATTCAGAAGGTCTGGGATGGGGCCGGAGATTCTGCATGTCTAACAATCTTCCAAATGATGCTAATGCTGGCTGAAGCGAGGGCTCACAGGCATCGCTGTTCATCTCTCCTAGGCTCAGTCCTGCTATTCTAACCCCACAGAGATTTCTACATGGGACACTACCGTAGGCTATGAAGTGACTGGTATCAAAGGCAGAACATGCAACAGCTGCAGAGCCTGTTCCTCCCAGGAAGATCATGCAGAGGAAGATCATACACATTGCCGACTGTGGAAGGGAGACTTGAACTGGGCTTTCGTCTGCCTTGCTGTTGCTTTGTCTTACCCTCCAAGATCATTTCTGTCTTTCATATTTCAAGTCACATTATTAATATACACACTTCAGGGACATTTCCAATTTCAACATTCCCTCTACCACTTCGTTAAAACTTACCACTCAAACTAGCCTTCCACCTTTGCCCATAGAAAGTCAAAAAGCTCAATGAGCATTCTCAGAGCTGATGAGATTGAACTGAAGTGGGAGTCAGTGAAGGTGGTAACTTCCAAAGCAAATAAAACACAACCAAAAAAGCAAAATAGCTTTATAATAATGCTATGTTGAATGTGAGTATCCGATACACTGACTGGCCAATTTCTTCTTCCAATGCCTTTCTGCCTCTCAGACATTATCATAATGGTCACTGTTTACTAATAACAACCCAGAAGCCACCACTTTTGGGTGATACAATTACATTTCAACACATGGTTAGCTGTTATTCCATCTCAATGCAATCCTGACTATAACATTCTAAGAATCAAATTCACATTTCTAAGGCCTACATCATTAGGCACATCAAAAACCATATACTGCTCTCCCTACCTCCTGCTGGCTGTTCATCTGGCAAAAGAGCAGCCATCTGGCTCAAGGTTATATTGGCAAGAGTCGATCAAAAAGTTCTACTTAAATCGCTGTAGGAAATCTCTTTTCTAACACATTGCTTTGTTAGATGTTGTAGGGAAATAGAAATACCACATTGTTGGTGCAACTGCTTAACCTGGATATCAGCATAAATTTTGTATTGGTTTCACATCACTGCATCTTTAATTTTTAATTTAAATGCACAGAACATTTCAAAAACTCATCACATAAAAATGAAATTCAAAAACCACTTGTACATAAAATAATCATGAAATAAGTGTACCAAATGAACTTACTTTGCTTTGCAAATATTCTTGGTATTCTATGTTATATTTCTTTAAAAGGTCGTTTTTCAATTCATCTGTCCTTGGGAATGCAATTTCCTTCAGTTTCTTTTAAAAATATATATACATATTGATTAGTGGGATTTTCAATACACTCTTTCAGATCCTCAGGTGAGAAAGAAAAACAGCTGGTAGGTGTGTTGCAAATAAAGTCATGAGTAACCAAAGATGATGGCAGAAAAATAAATCTTTTTTATGGGTCCAAAATATAACTTTCCAGCAGAAAAGAAACACTATTATCCCTTTTGTAAGAACTTTACTGGCCCCACTGATTAGATAAGCATTTTGTTATAGCCCAATGCTATAAAAAGTAAATAGCTAGAACTTCATGGCTACCTTTGTGGTACCCCATTTTTAGACAGTGAGTTTGAGATCAATCATTCGTTCTACAGTACATAAATCATGTAGCATCCGAATTAGAAGGGATGTGAGAGAATATATGGTGGATAGGGATTTCTACACATGCTAGACTGTAAAAAGAATAGCTGGGGCACTTTTTATAAAAATACAGATTCCCAAGCCTAATCCAGATCTACTGAATTAACACCTAGAGAAGCGGTCTGGGAATCTGGATCTCAAACAGCTTCCTCAGAGATTCTTAATGGCAGGAATATCTGGGAATTCTTATAAAGCCCAACTACCTCTTCCTTTTTAGAGGTGAGGAAGCAAAGGCCTGGAGAGATTGAAAGTCCTGTTTGGTATCATGCAACCAGCTAGCAGCCCATTTAGGACTGGAACTCAAGTCTCCCGACTCTCTAGCTCTTTCACCAAATTTCGATTCTCTTAATCCTTTGTCATTCATTTATGTATTTATTCATATATCTATTCAATAAGCATAAACAAGAGAAATGCATATGGTTTTGCAGAATTTTTCTCCTACAAAAAAAAAAAAAAATAAGCATAACCGTAAATTGAAAGTCACCTTGACAGCCTGGCACCTTTAGTTTCCAAACGGAACTCTCTGAGGTTGAATGAACAAGAGAATTGAGGGGAAGTGCTACACAAAGACATGATAATAAATGATACTTCAGGTAAGTGACTGTAGACATTTAAAAAGTTGACTGGGCGTGATGGCTCATGCCTGTAATCCTAACACTTCAGGAGGCAGAGGCAGGCAGATCACCTGAGGTAAGGAGTTCGAGACCAGCCTAGCCAACATGGTGAAACTCCATCTCTATTAAAAATACAAAAATCAGGCTGGGCACGGTGGCTCACGCCTGTAATCTCAGCACTTTGGGAGGCCGAGGCGGGCGGATCACTAGGTCAGAAGTTCGAGACTATCCTGGCTAACATGGTGAAACCCCGTCTCTACTAAAAATACAAAAAAATTAGCCAGGCATGGTGGTGTGCAACTGTAGTCCCAGCTGCTGGGGAGGCTGAGGCAGGAGAATGGCGTGAACCTGGGAGGTGGAGCGTGCAGTGAGCCGAGATCACGCCACTACACTCCAGCCTGGGTGACAGAGTGAGACTCTGTTTAAAAAAAAAAAAAATTAGCTGGGCATGGTGGCAGGTGCCTGTAATCCCAACCACTCAGTAGGCTGAGGCAGGAGAATTGCTTGAACCCGGGAGGTGGACGTTGCAGTGAGCTGAGATTGCGCCACTTCACTCCAGCCTAGGTGACAGAGCAAGACTCTGACTCAAAACAAACAAATAAATAAATAAATAATGTAGATGACCATCTGACAAAATCTGCATTTTGCTTATGCACCCTCAGGTCTGAAAAGACTCATAGGAAAGCCTTTATTTCATTATTTGGTAAAGTGTTTTTCAAAAATTATTTAAAATTGCATGCTACAATTGGCTTTGTGTACATGATTTTATCTTCCTTCATATAAGACCAACACAAGCTATTAAAGATAAATAAATGGGAAATATTGTAAATGTTTATTTAAAAGAATATATTCACAGCTAGACATAACCAAAATTATAGATATAGCAATTATTGGTGATAAACAAATCACTTAAAAAATGATGATAAATTGCAACACTCTTTTTCCTTGATAGTATTTTAGCCTTCCACCTCCTGCTTCCCCCACAATACTTTATAATCTATAGTTACAGTTCTATAAGATGTAAATAGCTAGAACTTTGTGGTTGCCTTAATAACTAACACTAATTTTCAAACAGTTATTGAGTTCAGGGCTGTATAAAATAATCAAAAGCAGCCAAAATGTCTGAAAAAAGTTCGGAGAAATACACAACATTCTCTTAATCTCCGGGAGAGATTATTGTAAAATAATTCCTTCTTCACACCATTAGGTAACGTTTTTGTTTCTTTCTTTTCCCCCAGCATCAATTAGACAAACCACACTGGCTCAATGATGATCATTAAACGTCTAAGAAAAAAATCGAAACATCATGGTTAATGGAATAAATTTCTCGTGCTCAAACTCTCAAGAGAAAGAGAAAGCGGAGGAAAGGGAAGGATGAATCAATAATGGATACTTATAGAGCATTTGATTCCACAGCGGATAAGCAAACCCACAATACCTTCATAATATCCTGCTTTTCAGGTACTGCACATTGCTGGTAATCTCGATGGTTAGGAAGCTTTTCTACAAACAAGCTAAGAAAGAGAAAACATGTTCTTAGCATTATGTAACAGCAAAAGCTCAATCATGGTTTCTAATAAGGGAATGAGCATCTTTTTTCAAAAATCACATGTTTAATAACTTATTTACCTACAGTCTTTCCATCTGCCTTTTCACTAAAGTCTGGCAAGAGTATTATTTTGGTATTAACAGTTAAACTCAACAAACTAAGCACCAGAGCTAACAAGGTTAAGGTCAGGGTACTCTCTAAACAGATCAAGTCGTTTGATCTTTCTCAGGTACTGCATGCTTAACCCCAAAAGAGCACCATCTTACTTTTGTGTACTGCTGGCAACACAGAGAATCACATAAAAATATCAGAGCATGGAAAGAGTGATGTAAATTCCTTCTCACTCTTGAAAAAAACTCAAATGACCACTGATGAACCAGCAGCGCCATCGTGTGTGTATCAAAAAACTCTTAACTGAAAACTTGTAACTAAGAAAAGTGACAACCAGAATCCCTAGTGAATTAGGAGGTGCTAATTAGGAATTCATTATTTTTCGTCACCATTTGAGGAACAAGAGACAGCAGCAGTGAAAGGAAATTCCTACAGGAAACCAAGTGCATCACTTCCAGGTAAAGTGAAGAAACTGCTACCACAAGGGCAGGGAATTCTTTTTTATGCACTGATGTATCCTCAGCCTGAAGAATAGAATCCAGCTCATAATAAGTGCTCAATAAATATTTGCAAAATGAATGAATAACCCTTCCTTGAAAAATCATAATGAGCTGTAAATGCTGTTTCTGATCAAATAATATGCCTTATACTTACTGATTCTGTAAACCAAATAATACACACATATACTCATCATTTAATTTCCTCTGACAACAGGCTATAGGTTAGACAGAAATGTTAGAGTAATTCCCATTTTAAATGAGAAAATTAAGGCTTAAAGAAGCTTTAAAAGTTGTTAGCTATCTAAGCCTTTATAAATAGAATAAATTCAAAGACATTTAGAGCAGAGGGGACCTCAGAGATTTTCTCCCATAAATCTTTCATTCGTAGATGATGAACTAAGGCCCAGGAAGAATGAGTGAATTACAAATTATCACACAAGAGAATTCAAATATTTTGATTACACAATAATTCTGAGATATAGGGGCCTTTTCCCTTTCACCAGGCTCACAATTACATAGGAGCATATGCAAGATCAGAGCAGAAGGTGAAAAAGAAATATTATTAATTGGTAACTTATTCAGAAACAAAATTTATTGGAAAAGCTTGGCTATCAACGGTGGAGAATAACTTCCAATTTCATATTTATTACTTAACTTTCTAAAAACAAGTGGTTTTCCCAGGTAGGGTAAATACTGCCAACCATTCTCTAAATTTTCAAGTTCAGTAACTTGGATAAAATGCAGATCTCAATTTGCATACCATGTAAACCACCTTTAATTTTGCCCTTGGTAGAATCATGGAAGGCAATTTTTAAAATACTGTATCTTTCAACTTAAATGTTCTCAGGCTAAGCCCCTGACTAAGCTAGTGAAATTATATGTGAAATAAGCCAGGCACAGAAACACAAACACTGCATGATCTCACTTATAATGTAGAAGGAATCTAAAATAGTTGAATTTATAGCAGGGCAGACAGTAGTAAGGTGGCTATTAGAGTTCCAGTGGGTGAGGATGAGGGGTGAGATGTTGGTCAAAGGATACAAAACTTCAGTTAGACAGGAGGAATAAGTTCAGGAGGTCCAGTGTATATGATGATTATAGTTAATAACAATGTATTGCATAATTATGCAGCTTGGGTCTGGCACAGTAGCTCATCCCTATAATCCCAGGACTTTGGGAGGCCAAAGCAGGAGGATCACTTGTATCCAGGAGCTGAAGATCAGCCTGGGCAACATAGTAAGATCCCGTCTCTACAAAAATAAAAGATTAGACGAGCATGGTGACACATGCCTGTACTCCCAGCTACTTGGGAGGCTGAGGTGGGAGGATCACTTGAGCCTGGGAGGTCGAGGCTGCAGCGAGCTATGATTGTGCCGCTGCACTCAGCCTGTGCAACAGGGAGGCCCTGTCTCAGTAAAAGGTCTGTGGGGTAATAAATATGTTAATTGGCTTGACTTGGTCATTCTACAATATAAGCATATATGTATCAAAACATGTTGCACACCCACTATATATATAATTTTTGTCAATTTAAATCAAATTAATAATAAGCTAGCAAAAGTAATCGACATGTGACTTTCAATTAAAATAAAAAAATAGAAGGTTCAGCTTAGAAGATATAATTATTGATAACAGGACATCCTTTCAACTAGTAAGTTACCAGATTTATAGTAAGGCAAGTCCAAGTCCCACTTCTGTTAACTCTTCAACTAGGATATGCCACTAGCAAATATCTGTCTAATAGGAAAT